AGTGGCCACCTAGGCCCTGAGAGGCAGCCGGGGCCAGCCTGGGGACCCTGCATGATCAGGAAACAGGGACCGCAGGGGCCGCAGATCTGCCTCCTGAGCCTCAATCGGGGGAGGGCAGAGCCTCCTTTGCAACTTTCCTTACAGCCGGAGACTGATGGCTGATGGCTGAGTGGGAAGAATCCTCTCCCACAGGGAGGCAGGAAAGAGAACTAAAGTGTGGTGTCCTTGAAGAAGCAGCTACTAAGCCACCTGGACAGGGGCGAGGACCCCTGTTCTCCAGTTCCTCCACAGAAGATGAGACAAGAGGTGGATTTAGCAGAATTAAATTTGAAGGCAATGTGAATTATCAAAATTTACTTCTTACTAGGGGAGGGAGAGAAACTATGAACTGGCAATCAAGGGAAGTTCCTGTCAGAGCTGAAAGTCCTGACACTGTCATCACAGGGTGAACTATGTGCCGCGCAGAACTTACATGCTGAAGTCCAAACTTCTAGTGCTCCAGAATGGGAGTTTGTTTGGAGGTAATGTTTAAGAAAGGAATCAAATTCCTATGAGTAGATCTTTGGGGAAGGGTTGGAATCCATCATAGCCTGACCCATGTCCTTGTAGAAGGGGAAATTTTGGACATGGTGACAGAGACAGACAGAGGGAAGATGACACAAAGAAACACAGGGGGAAGACGGCCACCTACAGGCTGAGGAGGGAGCCAGCAGAACCTCCCCCAGTGTTCAGCAGGAGCCAGCCTGTGGACACCTTGGCCTTGGACTTCCAGCCTTCAGAACCACACAGTGGTACATTTCCACTGTGTAAGCCAGCCAGGGTGTGCGTCTCATCCCCTGGCCTACGCACTGACCTAGACACTAAACACCCTCTCTACAACCACAACTAAGAGCCCCAGGGGAATGGGGAAGGTAAGTCTTCACACTTTATACCCAGCTGGCCTGGCATGATTAGCATCCAATAAGGCTGCTGCCAGGATTTCCATCTCGATGTCCCTGCAAAGCCTCATGCACTCAAGTTGGACTTTGGGGAAGTGACTGGTTCATGGGTGTGTGACACAGGATTCATGTACTGGGGGTTTTATAGCTGAGTGTGATGTTGGGACATAAGGCCTGGTGACCTGGCGGGGAGCAGACTTCACTGTGAGTGTGGCCAGGAAGGAGTGGATTCCTCCTCCCTAGGAGCTCACTGCTGTCTGCCCTGCCATGGATGCGTTCTCCCTGCCATTGCCCCCCTTCTTGGAGCCAGCCAATTATCAATGAAAACCTCTTCGAACTGTCAGTTAAAATAAACCTTCCCTCCTTTAACTTGTGGGTGTTTGGTATTTTGTCCCAGCCCAAAAAAAAAAAAAGTAATTATGACAGCTGTCCCCTTGCTGGACTGGGACTTTGGATGATATGAACTGATGGAACTTAGCACTGTGTCTAGCCACCGCAAAACTCCAATGAAATTCCTTGTTGTTGTTGTTGTTGCTATTGAGAATTTACCTAATTCTCAAGAAGAAAGCAACAAAAACACAGATGGATCTGAGCACATTCAAAATCTTCACTTATGTTTAACCGTTTAGCTATAAATGTGTCTGTGTGTGTGAGCACAGGAGAGAGAAAGGCAGACAGGGATCTAGGAGACAGAGAGAGAATTTTCTCCCAAGACTTTCAGTGGGTGGCAGGAAAAACAAATCCACATCATACCAGCATGATAGCTGATGTTGGATACTATTTATAGAGCTGGCCACGGTCATGCCAGAGCTTTAAAGAGGGAAAACATCTGGGCACATTCCAAAGAGAGAGGAAGAGCTGAAGTCACAACACACTCCACAGTGGCAATCTGCATCTCCACAAAAGTTGCAATTTACATTTGCTAAACATAATCCCCTGCCTCCCAGGCCCTCAGGGAGCCTCACTCAGCACCCACTGTAGCGAAAGAAGAACACAATAGCCCTTGTGCCTCTGAGCTTGAAACAGGTTCTGGAGTGAATGAGTGAATGAATGGTCACCGGGTGGCAGAGTGCACACTGGGGCCAGTGGCCAGGCAGCTGGGCGGTCCCTCTAAACCAGCGCCTGTCATCAGCACTCTCCAAACCTCTACCCTAAAAGGAGGAATGAAATCAATATTTCTACAATATTTTGCTGACGTAAATCAAGGATGCCCTACTTTCAACAAAAGCAATACATTTAAAATAAAAACCTAGATTTTGAAAACAGATATATGAGAACAAAGCCGTCCAACCTAAAAAAAAGGAAGAGGCTATGTGAAGGCCAAGCCCTCTGCTTTATTCAGCCAAGGATGCCCAGCACACAGGCTCAGACCCAGGAGCTACACCTCCTCAAAAGCTTGTGTGACCTACAGCAGCCACCTCTGCTAGCCAGCCAGCTCTCCCTACTGCAACACATCACATGGTTCCAAGTTCTAAGCACAGTCTTCAGCCCCCCCCCCCATCGCCCACAGGTGCTGCAGGTGAGGCACATCTGGATGCAGCTGTCTTGGGAAGGCTGTTTCCCTGGAGACACCACATCTGCGCCCTATCTTCATTGACTGTTTTCCCACACCATCCCGCATCTCCAGCCCCCACGCTATGTGCACACTGTGTTGGCAGCCCTGTTTTTCTGTTTCTGCAGAACCTCTTCCTGGCTTCTGGATGACAACCTGAAGGAGGGTGAGCAGGGTTTTCACTCTACCGTGGCTTTGGTAATGATAAACAGGTGGGCCACCTGTCTTGTCTGTGGGTTCAGAAGAGAATGATTGCAGGACAAGCAGCTAGTGGGCGCAGGATGTTCACTCTCTTGGCACCATGCATGAAACATGCCCACGTCTGTGTCTTCATTCCACAAAGTTGGATTCCATTCCCCAAATGTATGCTCCTGCCATATAGGTCATGAGAGAGAGAGAAGCAAGTCCTTATGAAGCGAGGCTTGCAGGGGGCCTTGGCAGGCTGACCCACAGATATGTGTGGACATACTTCCCTGAGGAGGACAAAGACCACACCCAGCCAGACACTACTGGAACTCACTGTCTTTACATTAATGTTTATAACTATGTTCAAAAATCAATAAAGTAAATATTTGGAAGTTGCAAGAAAGAAACAATGAAATAAACACTACCCATAATATCTCACCATCCAGAAAGAAGTTCTATTTGCATTTTGGTCTATGTTATTTGCTTTTTGGAATAGATAGATAGATAGATAGATAGATAGATAGATAGATAGATGATAGATAGATAGATAGATGATAGATAGATAGATGATAGATAGATAGATAGATAGATAGATAGATAGATAGATAGATAGATATAGATAGATAGACAGACAGATAGATAGACAGATAGATCGCTTTAGCCAGTAAGAGGACACTAGCATTCTTTCAATAACTTTATACAGTGTCCAACTACTGCACGGTATGGAGGTATCATAGTTTACTTAAGTACTCAACCCCTATGGTCGGAGAAAGTTGAATTGAGTTTTCTAGGAGACAAAAAGCATCCCAGAAACAGGTACTCATGTTTCTGATTATTTCCTGAGGACAGAATCCTAAAAATAAATCAAAACGTACAGAAATCCTCAAAAATTATGCTTTCCAGAAAGATCACACCCATCACAGTTCCATGAACAGGACATTTGACTATACTACTGGCTCTGTGACACAACCAATGTCATTTTTAACCTTCAACAGGGGCTAGGGATATAACTCAGCAGCATAAGTGCCTGCCTGGCAAGTACAAGATCCTGAGTTCAATCCCTGATACTGGGAAAAAAAGAAAAAGATAAAAGACCTTTAACTTTCAACAACATTAAAACTGGAAATATCATTTCCATTTTAATTAGCATCTTTATGACTGTTACTTCTGGACTTGTTGGTGATAGAGCTTGACTTGAATTCCTCACTTTCCCAGCTGCCACACTGCCCTTGGGTTTTATTCTCATCCTCAGAGCCAGAATCAATGTCCAATAGTAACTCACCCAGGATCACACAGCCCAAGCTGGGTCCCCAGGCCTGACGCTACCTGACCATGGTTCTATGCTGACAGTTCACAGAATGGACCCTCTTCCTGTGTTTCCTGTTGTGGTAGTTTCTCTTCCAACTAAACTTATTTTCCTGTGTAGAAAAACAAACCTGGCACTGTGGATGCACTGACATCTGTGCTATACCAGGATCCACACATCAGCCCCTCACTCTTCTGGACTCAGGCCCCAGCCAACCACCATCTCCCTATAACCCTTAGCAATGACACAATGGCTTCCCTATACATGGAAAATAATTTAAGCTAGCCTCACCACAACCCTCTGGATGGTACTCAAAGTGTCCTGAAATTTGTGTAAACCTGGACTGGGAAATATCAGTTAAGTCAAAGAAATGATCCTTCAGAGAGGTGGTACAGGGATGCCAGTATGGGGAAAAATAGTTTGCATAAGCAGCTGTTGCAAGGGCCCATTCTACCAGCATATCCACTCCTTCACTTGCAGGAGGCTGAGTGAGGAGTCAATGTGTTTTCTTCATGCAGAAATGGAAATACCTCAGTACAGACAGCTCTGCGACAACACAATGCTTAAGTGCATGAACAGGCCACCAACTGTCCATCACAGCTACTCCTCAGAGGACAGAGGAAATGTGCCACACCTCCTTCACCTCAGGGAGCAAAATTGTCTCAAAGGAGGGGCATCCCAGAAGTCCAGAGCTGAGCCTGGTCAGAGCAACACAGAACCCTGCGGGACCAAGGAGGAAGTCCAGGGCTGAGGGTATTTCTATTTTGAAGTCACCTGCTTGCCCAGGAATTTGTACTGCAGAGAAGTTCCGCAGGATCATAAACCAGCTCTTGCCTGCTTCAGAGCTCACTCTGCAACTTGGAGCGATCATTTGCTCGATTCAGCTCAGGTTAGGGAGATGGATAGGATTTTCCCATAAATCACTTGATTAGTATGAGAAATCTATGTTCCTGCTGCTCTAAGCATTGCAGGGATTTTTGGTTACCTTTAAATCTCTCTCAGTGTTATGATTCTTGAGCTCTCAGAGTTTCCTCCCCAGGATTGTTTTTTGAAGGTGTTATACTATTTGGCAACCTTATTTTGTTCCTTTCTATTGTGTTTCTTCCAAAGAATGCTGAATTCTTGACTAGAAATATTTGGGAAAACATGTCTGGGCTTGGAATCCAAAAACAGGTATTTTAACACATATCCAAATACTCCAGGCTCTCCCTAGCACAACTGCATATAGCCCAGGACCCCAGCCACAAGGCTGGCTCATGCTATCACCTCCATAAGCTTTCTCACCACAGGCCTTGATCACTGTACATTTCCAGCAATATGCTGACCTGACTACTTCCAATCTAATTCCATGTAATCACTACAACAAACCTCTGAGATAAGGTACCAGGTATTTTACAGTTGGGAAAACTGAGATTCGGAGTAATGACTTGGACAGTTGAGCCAGATCTGTGAAATAACCGTAAGTTAGATAAACTCTAAATATCTACCTGTCTGTATTTCCCGGTTCTATATTTATCTCAAAAAGATCCCCCAGGAATAAGGTTTGAAGAAAGGATGGGTGAGTCTTCTGCACTGCTCAGTCCTGAGCCACAAACTCTTTATTGCTTATATCACCACTTCAAGGACCCTAATCCCCAAGGGAGTGCAGTGCGATGGCTTTAAGAAGAAATCCTCAGCAACCCTGGTACATCTACTGCCGATCCTGTGTCCATCCATCCCCAGAACTAAACCACCTGAGGCCAGCCCTCTTGCTGGCCCTGTTCACAGCACACTAGTATAAGGCGGTCTCCTATTGCCCTTCCAAGGCTTCGCTGAGCAACACCCCACTCCAAACATACCTGTAGTTTACACAGTGATATGAGTACTATAGTCCATTACAGAGACCCAGGCTAGTTTCCTGCTGGCTCCATGGTCTTCAGTGGTTCTCTTTTCCAAAGCCACTATGTCATTCTCCTTCTGTTGTGGTTTGGGTTTTTGCAAGATGAACAACACAACACAGGACACATTTTATAAGATTATTTTGTAATGGATCTCCCGAAGAATCCTGTACACAAAATGCAAGAAATCTATCTACACACTGAAAACCAAAGAATCCAGTTAAGGGTCTGGATCCTAATATCCAGAATGAATCCATCTGAAAACCTAGAAGTCATAACAACACCTCCAACAAGTCCAACTGGAGGCCTAGAGCCCACAGCAATGTCTCATGCAGGCCCTCTTCTTAGATATATTCTGGGAAGGCCCGAGGACCTGTGGTGTAAGCTAGAAAGTCTGTGCCAGTGGGATGAAGGATCTGTGCTAGCAGGCAGAGGGATCTGAGCTGGAGCTAGGAAACTGTCTTTGTTACTTTTTACTCGTTGCTGGGTCAAATACTCGACACTCAAAATGAAGGAAGGGAAGGTTTATTTAGCTCACAGTTACTGGAGGGTTCAGTCCATATTCTGCTGGCTCCAAGGCAAACAACAGCAGTTCATGTGGCAGAAAACAATGAAGAGCAGAGGAGAAGCAGCAGCTGCGGCATCCATCAAGCCTCTTTCTTCCTTCTATGCTGACTGCGAAGACCAGCGCTCCACAGTGAAGATCCGAGCTCCTCCAAAGTGGTGCAGCTGCCAAGATCAAGCTCCTCCAAAGACTGGGACTTCTCCACGGAAGTGGAGCAGGGCGGCAGGAAGTCGGGCAGGATGACAGGAAGGCTTTCTCCATTCCTGGGCCCTGCCCATGGGCAGGGCGAGGCCACCACACTGAGAACTGCAGGAGCTGATTCAGCCAAGTTGACACAATGTACCAACTAACACAGAAGCAATACTCAAGGTAAGAACCAAAACTTCCCCCAAAGTACCACAGACACCCTCAGCAACAGTGAGACCCTGAGCTGCTCTGATGATGAGGAAAGATGAGTTCCCCTCAGGAAAGCCAATGTGACAAGCTTCTCCGAGAGACTGAGCAGTGTACCATCTTCCCCTTCAGAGCCAGGAAGCAATGCTAGGGTGAGGACCAGAGTTCCCCCAAAGTGAACTGTAGCCACCATAGCCATCCTCAGCAGCACAAGGTCCTAAGCTCCACCTCCAACAAGAACAACCAAGTTCACCAGGAAAGCCAGCATGACAAAAGCCACCCAGCAGAATAGCTCAACAGAACCAGCAACTCCTAACAGCTCCCAACAGCTTCAACAGCTTCCAAACAGCTTCCTTAGCTGCCTCACTCTTCTTCTCTAGTTCTGACTCTTATGCTGCTAGGAATAATTCCCAGGCGGGCCTCCCACACATGGCACCAGGCTAGTTAAGTTCATCTAGGTGTAATAAGTTGACCACCAGTTTACTATCCACTACACCTTCCCTATAATCCTACTTGCTCCCCATTTTCCTTTTTCTTTCCCTGCAGACATGTAACTAGAACAGAGAGATATGCTATCTTCATACTCACAACAGAATTTCCCTTTTTCCACATCACCTAAACTAAGGACCAAGGCCTCTTCTCCTCCCTGCCTCCTGGATGTTAGCAAGAAAGTCAGCACAGGACTCAAGCCCCTCTTGGGCCTTCCACCCTTACCTTGGGTAGAGTCCTCTCTCCCCTGCATAATAAAATTAGAGAAGACAATCTTCATTTTATTACCTCTTGCCTCATAGGAATTTTTTTTAATGCTTTAGGAGAAAAACTGAGTACAACGGGTCTCCCTTTGCTCGCCCAAGCCTGGCGGGGGTTCTGTGGCTCTCCTTCTTGAGTTCTAGAAGGATTAGTTACTCAGGCCATGTGGTTTTGTTTCTTACAATTGCCTTGTACAAAACCCTTCTCAGTAGGCACTGCTGACCTGAAGGAATCTCCAGGACCCTTTTATTCCTCTCCATCCATGCCTATGGCTTGGCCTTATTAATTCAGTCATAACTCTTCAGAATTTACGGGGGACCCCTTTTCAGTGAAAAGTTCCAGTGAAAGCAATGGCAGAAGCCTTTTCATTTTGATTTAGAGAGTCAGAAATTCCTCTGTAACCACCTCCATCCCCTTTCCTTGTGACTGGGAGGCATCTCACCCCATGGCCAGCGGGGCCCAGGTCCTTCCCCTCTTTTCTGAAGCCTCTGTCTTACTTGCTCCATCACTAAGAGAATGAAGCACCTCAAAGGAGTCCTTACCCTGATTCACACCTAGAACTTCCTCAGCCAGCAGCTGCTTTACCCTGTTACCTCCATTCCAGAGCCTAGGAAGCCCCCTCCCATTCAGTACCTATGCCATTTTATGCCCAGTAACATTGTTATTGTTCTTATTCTTGTGGGAAAGATACTGAGTCTGACCCTACATACTTCTGCAATTAGCATTTCATTTCTTTGTACCCTTTACCGGCAACTCATCCATAGAGTTGTTTATCTGAGGGATCACTAATGCCTCCCTGTGACCCTCCTCAGTGAAGCGCTCCCCCAGCTGCCAGATCATCTCACATTCAGTTTTCACAGCTCAACTCCAGATACAGGAGAAGTAACTGGCCTAGCCCATCCCTGGTTCCTTCTGAAAAAACACTCAGTGTCTGAGGCAACGTTCTGTCTTACTTGGACCCCTGTGTGAAGAGTGGCTCCTTCTCAGAGCTTGCTATGGTTTAAATATGGAGTGACTCCAAGATACTAATATAGTGAAGGCTTGACGCCAGGTGCTGCAGTCCAGAAGGGGACTACAGAAGTGACTGGATCAGGAAGACTGACCCTATCAGCAACTAAAGCATTGGAAAATTCACAGCTGAACAGGCTGGGAGAAGGGGCATCCCACCTGAAGGAAGGAGCTTCCTGGGGCACGATATTCTCTCAGTCTGCCTCTCTGCCCTTTCATTGCTTCTTGGCTATCTGAGGTGAGCAGTTTTCCTCTGCGACACCCTTCTATGATGTTTCTGTCTGATCACAGCCCTAAGAATGATGGAGCCTGCTGACCATGAGCTAAACCCCCTGAAACTATTAGCCAAAATGACCCTCTTCTTCCTGAAGTTGATAATCTCAGATATCTTTGTCACAGGAAAAGAAAACTGAGTAAAACAGAACCGTTTAGAGGTTCATCTTCAATGCCCTATACCCAAAGTTAACAATCTCTGGTCCATGGGCCGGGTGACTGGTTTATAAATAAAGTTTTATTTGATCACAGCTATGCCCCTTCATTTGCATATTATCTAGGACCACTTTAGTGTTCTCATGGCAAAGATGAGCAGTTACAGCAAAGATGACACAACCTGAAAAGCCTGAAATAGTCATTGACTCCCTAAGAAAAAGTTTGCTTGCACTTCCCCTAGGCCTATCAATTCTGAACTACAGTTCTCAGGTTAGCCTTTATACTCTAATACCTATACTGGGGCAGTAGGGATCCCCCTTGGCCCTGCAACCCTGAACATGACTGGGCACTGATAACCCCAAAGTTCTTCTCTAGTTCATCTTCCTTTCTGAAATCCAGATCACAGCCCAGACATGCAGGAGACACTTCACTCAGATGCCTCACACTTCCCAAAACAACCTCCCTGCTCCCTGTTCCTGCGCCACCCACCTGCTCCTCTCAGCATCTTCCGCCTCATGCTGAAGGCTTCCAACCACCTGTGAATGCTATCTTTCTCTCCCATGCTCAAGCCTTCAGTGATTTCTGCTGTCTCCCCTTCCAAATATTTCAAATTCAATCGCTCTCCACTCCCTTCTAAAACCTAAGCCAAGCCCCAGTCCTCTGGCTCCAGGGCCTTTTTTCCCAGCTGCCCTCTGCCCGCACAGGGCTCCTACGCAATGCCTTGACATCACAGACTGTGTCACTCTGTGGCTGCTCTTTCTGACACCTCAGCAGTTGCCAACTTCGAGGCCTATCCTAGCCTGGGCCACTGGGCCCCACATGTTCACATGAATCATACACCACACGTCCAGGTGTCTAACCGGGTGTAACTGCTGGACAAGGTCCTCCTCCCACACACAGTCGCTGCTTTCTTTGCACAGCTTTGTCTTCTCCAACGTACTGAGTGGCCTCTGGCAGGCCTTCTGCCTTAGTTGCCCTCGATCTCCCCCACTGGAGTCTACACTCCCCGCAGACCAAACCTGGGTCACTTGTGCATACCGCTGGTTCTCAAAGCTCAAAAGTGTTCCCATCCACTCCCAAAGTACAGAGCAGTGAATGAACGAGCACCTAAAGTGTCAGGAGTCCTGTATCCCATAGGAAATAGAAAGACAGGAGAGAAGCTTAGTATTTGCAGCATGGAAAAGATCAAAGGGCAGAGCTTCCTGAGACTCACACAGCCTTGGGGTCAATGTCTCCCTTGCTGAACTGTCCTGGGAAACGGACTGAAGCAAGCCAGCCCCTGCAGCAAAGGGACTGTGCAGCCAGCACCCTTCTTGCAGAGCTTATCTGTGATCAGATAAGGTGGGCCGGAGCAGGGGCGTCTCCAGGGGCACACAGAGCAACACCCCAGCCTCATCACATGTCACAGCCCTCAAGGCCCTCATCCCTAGCAGAGAATCCTGACTGCAGAGCCAAGTGGATGGTCTGGGGAGGGCACACCAGTGAGCAATCAGCCACTCGCTGCAGTGTTAGCCACTGTGTGCCTGTAAACGACTGGTGATGAACCAGCGTTTAAAAATCTGAAATCAAAGGCAGTCCACTTATCTCTCTCTCTCTCTCTCTCTCTCTCTCTCTCTCTCTCTCTCTC